TGATTTAACCTAACTATAATAATAACTTTACTGGTTACCTTAATCACTTATGCCTAATTTAAAATGTTGATTATATTCAAAGCAACTAAGAACATAGAATGCAATAGAAAACAGGAAAAATAGGAATATAGTTTAAGAACATACAATATATAGGAAGTGAACATATCTTACCTTAAAACAACCAAGAGAAGCATCTATTAGTGGCCAGTCTTTATTCGGTGTATCTCATCAGTGAGGTACCCCTTACTTACTTACTTACTTACTTACTTACTTACTTACTTTGGAGATTTAACGTGCCTTTTCCGACTGATCAATGCGTATTTCGCACACGGGCCCGGCCATGCCATTTAATGTGTTTCCGAAAGGGGCGAAAGTGGTATGAGCAACCCAAGAGGGGGCTTTAGGGGTTGCTTATATAGAATTTGGGAATTTTGAGATTTGGAATAGATGCCGATGGGGTTGGGGAGGAGAGGTGGGGTGGGGTGAGGTACCCCGACTGACTGACTGACTAACTGATATAGGAGATTTAACGTGCGCTTTCCGACTGTAGCGTATTTCGCACACGGGCCTGGCCGGGTCATTTAGTGTATTGCGAAAAGGGTGAAAGTGGTGTGTGCAACCCAAGAGGGGGCTTTTATCGGTTGCTTATATTGAATTTTTGGAATTTTTAAATTTGGAATAAATGCCGAAGTGGGTGGAGGAGGGAACTAAGGGTGAGGTGGGTGTTTGTATGTTTATTGGATTTTGGATTGGTAGATTAATGAGTTTTTAGATGCGCTTAATTAGATCTGTTTTTATTAGGAATACGTCTAGGGCCTCGAAGTTTTCTAGTTTATTTTGAGGGTTTAGTATTTCATATAGAGTAGGAGCCTTATTTAGATTGAGGGTGGTTTGTAGTGTGGTTCTGTGTGTTTGGTAGTGGGTGCAGTGGATGAGTGCGTGTTCTGTGGTTTCGGGTTGTTTGCAGTGGGGGCAGTTTCCTGTGGTGTGTCTTGTAAGTTTTTTAAGGTGGTTATTTAGGTTCGTGTGTCCTGTTTGGAGTTTTGTAATTAATCTGTCAATTTTTTTAGAGGGGTGTAGGATTTTAGGTTTGGCTAGTGGTTTTCTGAGTACTTTCTTGATTTGGCTATTTGAGTTTTGATATGGATTATGCCATTTTTGGGTAATTTTTTGTTTGTTTACACTTTTAATTTCTGATTTTGAGATGGGTAGGTTTAGGCTTATTTCTGGTATTTTTAGAGATAACTTAGCTGCTTTATAGGCGTTTTCGTTGCCGTAAATTCCTACGTGGGCGGGGATCCACAAGAAGGTTATTTGTTTGCCTGCTTTTGTTAGGTCGTTGGAGCTTTTAAGTATTTGGTTTATTAATTTAGGTCGGTTTTTGGTATTTTTGTTTTTGAGGGCTTGTAGTCCACTAAGGGAGTCGGTGAAAATTAGGATTTTATTGTTGTTTTTAGATTGTTGGTTATGCAGGGCTGAGGCCATGCCCATAAGTTCGGCCGTGAATATAGATTGGTTGTTAGGGAGTCGGTAAGATTGTGTGGATTTAACTGGTTGTGTGGTATGGACTCCGAAGCCTGTGTGGTTGGAGATCGGGTCTGAAGATCCTTCCGTGTATATGTGACACCAATTTGGCCATTTTTCGTGTATGTATGCAAGTGTGGTGGTTTTAGCTATGTTTGGGTCGGTTTGTTTATTTATTTGGTTAGCTAGCGTTGTGTCTATATTGGGTATTTTGAGTTCAGGGGTGAAGATATTTGATTTTTTGCAGTTTTGTTTAAGATTTTGAGTTTGGTGTTCATTGAGGTAGTTAGTTATTCTTTGGGATATTGGGGTGAGTAAGGGGTGTTTGCGAGCTAGAGCTTGGTTTCTTGGGCTAATGTTTTGGTTAATTAAGTTTTGGATGAGAGGGTTTGTTTGGGACGCGGCCCAGAAATTAAGGCTTAGATGTTCCCTGCGTAGATTTAGTGGCATTTCCCCTGTAAGGCCCTGAAGTGAGGTGTAGGAGGTGCCATGTTGGGTGCGTTTAAGGGCTTGGTATTGTTTTGAGTCAAGTTTTTTAGATAGAGAGTTGTTTAGGGTATTTTATATGGCGCAGCCGTAGTCTAGTTTTGATCTAATTAGTGCTGTATAAGAGTGAGAGGAGGGTATCTTTGGAGGCTCCCCAGTTAGAGCCGGTGAGACATCTTAGTGTGTTAAGTCTTTGCTGCATCTAGTTTTTAGGTTTTGGACGTGAGCCTCCCAGGTGAGGTGTTGATCGAAAATGAGTCCTAAGAATTTGGTTTGTTTTTGAAATTTGATTGTTTGATTGTTTAGCTGGAGGATTGGGGAGTTGATAAGCATTATGTATTAAGCGTTAATACTACATGCGTGTAGTTGATAAGCATTATGTATTAAGCGTTAATACTACATGCGTGTAGTTGATAAGCATTATGTATTAAGCGAAAACCGACCTAAATTAATAAAACACACTACAGGTAACTGCCCACACTGCAAACAACCAGAAACCCCAGAACACGCACTCATCAACTGCACACACTACCTAACACATCGAACCGCATTACAAACCACCCTCAATCTAAACAAGGCTCTAACTCTAGAAGCAATACTAAACCCACAAAATAAACTAGAAAACTTCAAGGCCTTAGGCGTATTCTTAATAAAAACGGAACTAATAAAACGCATCTAAAAACACAATAACCTACCAAATAAAATCACATAAACAAACAAACATCCACCATACCCAGCTCCCTTAGTTCTCCTCCCAAATCCCATCGGCATCTATTCCAAATCTCAAAATTCCCAAATTCTATATAAGCAACCCCTAAAACACCCCTCTTGGGTTGCACAGACCACTTTCGCCCCTTTCGGAAACACATTAAATGGCCGGGCCGGGCCCGTGTGCGAAATACGCATCAGTCGGAAAGCGCACGTTAAATCTCCAAAGTAAGTAAGTAAGTAAGCTTATCAACCAAAACTTGTGAATGAAGGCCGGCGTATAACATCGCGGACTGAGATAGACTTTAGTACACAACTTATTGAGTAATATACACAAAATATGTTGATTCGTCTTTTTTTATAAAGTCAAAATTATTTATGAAAAATAGAGTGGTGAGTATGGTTTTACGCCGCTTTTAGCAATATTCCAGCAATATCACGGCAGGGGACACCAGAAATGGGCTTCACACATTGTACCCATGTCGGGAATCGAACCCGGGTCTTTGGCGTGACGAGCGATCGCTTTAACCACTAGGCTACCCGACCGCCCCATGAAAAATAGAAGAAAATATGTTATTGTTCCAAAATACGTTTCCTTCTATTTTTCATAAACAATTTTGACTTTATAAAATAAGACTAAACAACATAATTTGTGCATATTACTCAATAATTTGTGTACTCAAAGTCTATCTCAGTCCGCGATGATATAATTTGGAACTATGACACTACCTTGGGGTGTGCCATTTTCTAAGGGACACTGGTCCGATAGCGTTTGGTCGACACGCAAGGTTATTTTGCGATCAGTTAGGAAGTCTTGGATATAGTTTATTATTTGGCCTTTAAGTCCCTCTTTTTTTAGTTTTTGTTTCAGCCCGTTATGCCATACCATATCGAAAGCTTTAGAGAAGTCTAGAAATATGCCTACTGTGTATTGTCGGTTTAGTTGGCCCGTTTTGATGTCTTGTTCTAATCGGGCGAGGTTGTCTATGGTTGATCGGCCTGGGCTGAATCCACTTTGATCTTGGTTTATTATATTGTTTTGGTCTAGATAGTGTTGGAGTCTATTTTTGACCATTGCCTTCATGATTTTACATAAGTTTGAGGTTAGGGAGATTGGTCTGTAAGAGTTTGCCTCGTTTGCTGGTTTGTTCGGCTTTGGTATTGGGATGACCAATGCCTCTTTCCATGAAGTAGGAACCTGACCGTTTTGGTAGATGAGATTGTATAGTTTAAGTAGTGATTCCAGAAGATTTTAGGGTAGCTGTTTAAATATTTGGTATGGGGTAAGGTCTAGTCCTGGGGCTGTTCCTTTTTTTTCTATTATTTAGTACATGGAGTAGTGTATATTGTTGGTTAATTTCGAGGTTATCATCTTTGGGTAATTTGAAGAATTTATTTTGATTTTTTAATTGCTTTTGGAATTCCTCAGGGAAGTAACTATTACTACTAATGGCTGAGAAGTGGTCTGCGAGGTTATTTGCTTTTTGTTTAGGGTTTGTCGAGTTATTTATGTTTGGTGTTTTGTTGGTTCGTTTAATGCCTCGGATTGCGCTTACTTTTCATCGTTAGTTAGTTAGTTACTTTGGAGATTTAACGTGCGCACAATGTACTTTTCATCTCTGGACGAAGGCTTATATAGCCAAGGTCTTCTGACATGGATTAAGTCATAAACATAAACAACATCAATTAATCAGTGACATAGTTGCACATCCCTCAGGCAGTCAATGTACAATACAAAGGAGACTAACAATTGGGATTAGCATCTTATATATAACGGCAGTTAAGTGATTCAAGACATATACATGTCATGGCTACAGAGTAATAAGCCCTTGTTTTTTCAAAGGAAGTCCAAAATCGGTGGCTCTGACAAACCTATCACCAGCACCGAACTGTTAGATTTTTGACACTTCGGGACGACACCATTTCAGCCAAGGTATTCCCGGGACGTCGCCCTGTGAAAATCTGTCATGTTGTTTTTACTGTGTTGTTTCAAGGGATTAAAGCCACGCCGAAGACCCGGTTTTGATTCCCCACATGGGTACACTGTTTGAAGCTCATTTCTGGTGTCTCCACCATGATATTGCTGGAATATTGCTAAAAGCGGCGTAAAACCATACTCACTCACTCAAGGGATTAAAACTGAGGTTGGTCAGGAAATGTGAACTTGGGTGCGAAATAAGCTAACTCACATAATGTCAATCAGTAGTGACCTATAACTCACTTAATGTTAGAGTTCTAAGAATTCATATATACCAAAATGAGTTAAGGAAAAAAAATATATGGACGAACAACTTCTTTATTACAATAGGAGCGACGTTTCGTCGTAGGTTCAAACACTGCTGTCAAGCAAGTGATGTATAGAGTACTAGTCTGACTGACTGAGGTTGGGGGTATTACGTGCGCTTTCCGACTGCAAGCGTTTGTCGCACACGGGCCCGCCAGGCAAAAAAAATATGAAGGAAGGGATTTGTGCAACCCAGGAGGGTTGGTGTACAGAGCATGGTTGACAAGTATATATACAGGATAGGAGGCAGTGTTTGTACAATTGAATGGGTTTAAGATGCAGTTACACTGGAGTGGAGAAGTCTGTTATGTACACAGAGGGTAAAACATACACAGGAAGAGTTCCGTGCAGCTTCTGCCAAGGTGAGGACTGCAAGGTTCTATATGGGTGGAATACACAAGAACAACACAGCAAAATCTGTGAGGCGTTACCTGGAAAAGAAAGGTGTTACTGTTACCTACGTGAGATTTTTTAATTATGAGGAGAAGAGGACAGCATCAGCCCAGGTAAATGTCCTAGCTAAAGATACAGAAACACTTGAAAGCAAAGGCTTTTGGCCCGAAAATATATTTATTAAGAAAGAACAATCAGATGATTTCCCCGGACTCAGAAACAATTATGTTGATAATGCCCGTGGACAATAACTGTCTTTCATTAATGTATTGGAATGCAAAAGGCATTATGTCCAGTGTTCCTTATTGAATGATTGCCTAAATGATAACTGTGGATATCTGTGCAATAGCTGATCACCAGCTTCATGAAGATAATCTGTGTTTTATGGATACTATTAACAATGACTACTTCTATATTGCCAAAGTATCTGCAGAACCAGAGCATTGTACTCGACAAGGCTTTCCTAGTGGTGGTACAACATTACTTTGTAAGAGACATCTATGAAAATTTTACCAAAGAAATCAACTTAGACAGTGATAGAATCTCTGTCCTTTAAACAGGATCACTCCCTGTACCTCTTCTGTGTATACTTGCCTCCATCAAATCGCCCTGAAGAACTTTTTTCTTTTTATGTAGATAATCTAAAAGACATTTGTGATGCATATTCCCTGAAAGGCAGTGTAATAGTGATGGGAGATTTTAATGCCACTGCCTTTGGACCTAGGTACAATCCTGCTCTGAGCATTCATGATGGAATTCTGTCAAAATTCGTGATCAGTTCAAATTTGTCTCCTGTAAACATGCAATCTAATTGTGTTGGTCCGATATTTACCTTTCAGGCTTATAGTGGAGGTCCAGTCTCTGCTGTCGATTACATAATGATCTCAGAAGATCTTAAAGGACTAGTAGCTACTGCTTGTGTAAGAGATGATAATCCATTCAACGTCTCTGATCACCATCCGGTTCCCTGGACAATTTCATGTGACAAAATTCCGACAGATTACGACAAAATATTTATGGGATAAAGCACTAGAAGATGGATCTATCCAGGACTATACATATGCAGTTTCACATCTTCTCTGGCCTAATCCTTGTCCCAAGGTTGGATGTGCACATAATGATAAAGACACAATTAGTGATCAGATAGTCCAGAGTCTAACAGAAGCAAGTGAAATGTATTTACATAAGAAGAAGTTTAAGAAATATCTTAAGCCATAATGGAAATGTAAAGTTGATGACTTTCATAAGTTGTGATTGAGCAGTCCACCTCCTACTTTCAACTTCTTGTGTTCATCAAATAGACATAAGTTGTGATTGAGCAGTCCACCTCCTACTTTCAACTTCTTGTGTTCATCAAATAGACACTGAGAGAGACAACTCAGAAACTATGATCTATATGGGCAAAACAGTTGGGTCCAATAATACAACAAAGATGTAGATTTAGTGTGCACACAATATGTTTACCCTTATGCAATGTATTGGCTTGGTATGTAATAGAAATGTATGCCAAATTAGAGCTGAAAAGACTTAGTGGAAGTTATACTGATAAAGTGAGGGTTCAAATTCATGTAGCATGTGACAGTTATTAGACAATGTACTAGCCAGGACAAGTTTACTATATCACAAGAAAAATAATCAAATTTGAGTGAATCTATATACATGGGTGCAATAATAAAATGCACTTTCTTCCCTGGTGTGTTATCACTAACTAGAGAACATAGAGCAAACAAATCTACATGGCTAATATAATCAGTGCATAGGCTAGTTATGTAACATAACATCCAATTGGCAAGTTTCAAATAGGCCAAGTCATATTTGACATACAGAATAATTATCAACAAATTGTTGATATAAACAATGCCAAAACTGCTTGTCCATAAAAAAGTGTCCAATCAATTATTAAGAAATGTGATAAACATAAATCTGTCAATCCATCCTCTTAGAAGTGGCAATACACATGTGAAATATATGGCATAAAATAACTCAGTAAATATATATATATACATATATATATATTATACCCTATTATTTAATTTATTAATTTCATACATCAAATCAATTAATATGAACATGTTCTTGATACTTGACTGGGGCATCCTGACACTTTGAAATAGTAATTTAGTCACTGATTGACTTTGCAAGAAGCAATAATTTTTTTCCACCTTGAGATTATGCTGTCCTTCGGTTGTGACCAAAACTTCTGCAAAAGAGGCCATCCTTTCTTTGAAGTGGTCAAAACATAAATATTTTCTGGTTCCAGATAGTTAGCATGAGCTCCTAAAGTAAGAGACTGTGCCAGTCTTCCTGCTATACATACAAAGATGACATCCCATTCTACTGGAGTGAGCTGTCGTATACTCTCATAGCCAGCTAAAATATAGCCTGGAGTATCTAGCTGGTCAACAACTTCAGAGTCTATCATAAGGTATGCAATATTCATTGCCAGATCCAGCACTAAGTAACTGTTTGCAACATCAGAAAAGTCCAAAATTCCACTGATCTCATAGTCTCCACCTCCATGGCTTTTTGACACAAGGATATTTTGTTCATTTGGATCTCCATGGATGTAACCTGTTGACAAATGAAAATGAATATTCAACCTTTGGGAACTAGAATGGTTGTTTATATTACATGCACTACAGAAGTAGCCCCATCCCCACCTTTCCCTGAAGGCATAAAAGCTGTGGCTTGAGCTACATTAATAACAAACACTTCTAGTTTAATGACATAACCCTCGGTTGGGGAAAACACATGCCTAATGGGGAACAACTTAGCTTCCTAGATAATTAAGTTTTGTGCACTTCCACTTCAATACCACCAGTTCTGGTTCAGGAAAACATATGCTCAATGCAGTACAACCTTGTAACAGAAAGTCTTATGCCTGTTTCTACCGTAATGAATAAATCATAAGTACTTCTAATTTATTGACATCACTTCTGGTTTGTGAAAACACATGTCAAACAGGTTTAAAACAGAAAGTTCTTTGCCTCTAACTGCCTGAGGAACTTAGGAACTTCCAGTCTTAGATATGCCATTTGCAGTGTGACTTTTAAACAGAACGTCCAATGGCACTAGGCACATTAACAAGAAACTTTCTTGCTTATATGCAAATGAAAAATAGGCAAGTTTTGTCATTGTCATTTGAACTTGCAGTAGACGGCTAGTCTGGTTATGAAACCTGATCTGTTATGGACTGTTCATAAAACAAAACATAATACATGTATGCACAAGGCTAAAACAATACCTGCAGGCCTTTTAGTGGCAGTTGCAAACATGCTTTGTGAATGACCTTTACCATGACCTGATTTTATGCATAGGTCATTAATGACAATTCCAATCTCAGTTCCATCTGAAGGAAGACATGTACCAGTCTTCATTGACTTGCAGTAACAGTTTGCAGTAAAGAAACATCTTGCTGTGCCCTTCAGCATGACAATGACATGATACATCAATGTGAGGTGACATACTTGATATGGTATACCTAAGATATCCAAGCACAACATAGTTTCAAAATTCAAAAACATTTGAAAAACAGGCCTGGCATTTTCATCTACATGAGGCTGCTTCACAAAAGTCAGGCAGTCATAAGCTCTACTAGTCTACATACTAACCACAGGTACAAGGTGAGGTGAAATGGGGTTTAATGTCAACATTAAAGCTTATTTCACTACATACATGTGTGTGGCTGGTTGTAGTACTCTGTTCTAGCAGGATATACCCACCAACATTTGAACGTTGATATTTTTTCTTTTGAGTTCTTAGTTTAACCCATCACTTTGTTATACTTTGTTTCTGAATGACCACAGTGTTTTCTGTACTGCTATATTGCCAATTTAAATAACACATTCATAATCTTCTGGGAACAGAACTTTTATAGCAATCAGGTTGTATAACATGTCATTTGATAACTTACATGACATGCATGCATGCACGTACGCACGCACATGCAATATATGTAAAGGAAATCATAATTTTATGGACAATAATCAAAATATATGTCTAGACAAGAATGTTTCTTTGATTTTGCAATGGGAACAATTTGGACAGTTTTTGTAAGGTACTAATAATGATAATCTAAAAGAATTTCTTCAATTAAATGATATTTGATTAACTAATATAATATATGTCTAATTAATTACGTTCTATTTAATATGTTCTTGCATATAATGTTTGGGCATCGACACTTATCTTTGTTCTAATACTTGGTATCAACTGTTTGATTGGCATTCTAGAGGTTGGTGATAATAAGAACGTCAACTTTATTGATAACAACTTCTGGTTTAGCATATATATTTCACGATCCCTACTTTTTCGAGGAGTATATATTGAACCCCACCACTAACTACACATGTACCAATTTTCAAGACATGTTTTACAAAAATGACCAAGTAATGGACACAAATAGACCTTTTGAAAAAATTTGAATGTCATCATTTGTTGGAACAAGTAAGTGAAATCTCAGCCTCATGAGATGAGTGGTTCATGAGGAGAAGACATTTATTATGCATGACATATAATGCACACCGAATGACTGACAAACAATTAGGTGAGCTAAAAATTACCATCTGAAATATGTTATGTGTGAGCATTGGTTTCGGTTCATGAAACATGAACAATTTCTATAAACACCACGGAAAACGGATCGTGGCTTTCGTTGCACTTGCTACAACTGATTTCTACACTTGATGCATTAAAATAGTCAGTGTAGGCTTTTCGTTCAATGGAGCAAGACACACTTACTTTCCGTTGTCGTTGACCAATATTCATGGTCTTTATAGATATAACGTGGACCCATCTTGGTGGTTCTTATCAAAGTGTGTACATGCTCCTGTAGTTAGTGGTTCATTCCAACATTCGTGATCATGTACCTACCATAGTTTCTTTAATTTCAACTATTCCATGAGAGAATCATGTTTAGTTCTCCATAGATGTCATGATAAGGGAATCATGTTTAGTTCTCCATAGATGTCATGATAAGAGAATCATGTTTAGTTCTCCATATAATGTCATGATAAGAGAATCATGAGTTGTTCTCCATAGATGTCATGGTAAGAGAATCCTGTTTAGTTCTCCATAGATGTCATGGTAAGAGAATCCTGTTTAGTTCTCCATAGATGTCATGATAAGAGAATCATGTTTAGTTCTCCATAGATGTCATGATAAGAGAATCATGAGTTGTTCTCCATGGATGTCATGGTAAGAGAATCATGTTTAGTTCTCCATAGATGTCATGATAAGAGAATCATGTTTAGTTCTTCATATATGTCATGATAAGAGAATAATGAGTTGTTCTCCATAGATGTCATGGTAAGAGAATCCTGTTTAGTTCTCCATAGATGTCATGGTAAGAGAATCATGTGTAGTTCTCCATAGATGTCATGATAAGAGAATCCTGTTTAGTTCTCTATATACAAGAGCTGGCTGAAAAGTTCTAAGCCTAAGTGGGATATCTCAAACAAACTTTTGCCACCAACAAGTACAATCATTTAATGAATCATAGACATAAGAACTGCAACTGTAGGGGATGATGCCCCTTCCTTTTCCAGTGTAAAGAAGAGGGCTGTGGAATTCAAGCGTGTCAGAGAGAGCCTTGACGATGACCCGCGTCCAGGAAGGCCTTCAACAGCAACCATTCCGGAAAACATTACCCGGGTGCATGACATGGTGATGGCTGATCGACGATTGACCACTCGACATATTGCCAGTGTTGTGCGCATCTCTCATGAGAGGGTTGAGCACATTATCACCAATGAGTTGGGAATGACAAAAGTTTCTGCAAGATGGGTGCCAAAGCTCTTGACAGCGGATCAGAAATGTGTCAGATTCCTAACGTCCCGTGACAATTTATGCCGTTTTGAAGCAGATCCCATTGATTTTTTGGTCCGATTTGTAACCATGGATGAGACCTGGATTCATCACTTTCAACCAGAAACCAAAATTCAGTCGAAACAATGGGAGCATCCGGAATCACCAGCCCCCCAAAAAGCCAAGTCGGTTCCTTCTGCTGGAAAGGTGATGGCTTCACTCTTTTGGGATTCCAAGGGTATTCTGCTGATTGACTATCTTGAAAAAGGCCAAACTATCAATGGAAGATATTATGCTGACCTACTGAGACAGTTGCATGAAGCTATCAAAGCTAAGCGACGGGGAATGCTCACTAAAGGAGTCCTGTTCCACCAAGACAATGCTCCTGTTCACAAATCAGTGGTTGCCATGTCAGCGATCCATGATTGTAGCTTCGTACTCATTGACCATCCCCCTTATTCACCCGATTTGGCCCCGTCAGACTTCCACCTGTTTCCCAAAATGAAAAAGGAACTAGCCGGTCGCCATTTTCCTAGTAATGAGGACGTCATTTCCGCTGTGAATGACTTTTTTAGGGTGGCTGAAGAAATTTTTTTCTTGATCGACATCCAGGCCTTGCAGCATCGCTGGCAAAAGTGTGTAAACCTGGAAGGGGCCTATGTGGAGAAATAAATGAAAAACATCGAATTGGTATGGGTCTTTCACAGTTAGGCTTAGAACTTTTCAGCTAGTCCTCGTATGTCGTATCTTTAGTTCTCCATAGATGTCATGATAAGAGAATCATGTTTAGTTCTCCATAGATGTCATGAAAGGACAATCATATTAAGTTCTTCATATATGTCATGATAAGAGAATCATGTTTAGTTCTCCATAGATGTCATGATAAGAGAATCATGTTTAGTTCTCCATAGATGTCATAAGAGAATCACGTTTAGTTCTCCATAGATGTCATGATAAGAGAATCATGAGTTGTTCTCTATAGATGTCATGATAAGAGAATCACGTTTAGTTCTCCATAGACGTCATGATAAGAGAATCATGTTTAGTTCTTCATAGATGTCATAAGTGAATCACGTTTAGTTCTTCATATATGTCATGATAAGAGAATCATGTTTAGTTCTCCATAGATGTCATTAGAGAATCAAGTGTATTTCTCCATATATGTCATGGTAAGAGAATCATGTTTAGTTCCCAATAGATGTCATGATAAGAGAATCATGTTTAGTTCTCCATAGATGTCATGATAAGAGAATCACGTTTAGTTCTCCATAGATGTCGTGATAAGAAAATCATGTTTAGTTCTTCATATATGTCATGATAAGAGAATCATGTTAAGTTCTCCATAGATGTCATGATAAGAGAATCATGTTTAGTTCTCCATAGATGTCATGGTAAGAGAATCATGTTTAGTTCTTCATATATTTCATGATAAGAGAATCATGCTTAGTTCTTCATTGATGTCATAAGAGAATCACGTTTAGTTCTCCATAGATGTCATGGTAAGAGAATCATGTTTAGTTCTCCATAGATGTCATGATAAGAGAATCATGTTTAGTTCTCCATAGATGTCATGGTAAGAGAATCATGTTTAGTTCTTCATATATTTCATGATAAGAGAATCATGTTTAGTTCTTCATTGATGTCATAAGAGAATCACGTTTAGTTCTTCATATATGTCATGATAAGTAAATCATGTTTAGTTCTCCAGAGATGTCATGATGAGAAAATCATGTTTTGTTCTCTATATGTGTCACAAGAGAATCACG